CCACTTCCTGGCTCACACACTCTTTTTTTATCGCTTTGCTGGGAAAAACTTCCAGCAGTTAACGCCCAGTACAACGCCGATCATATCACGTGCGGATGACATCTGAAACTGTTTAAATGAAAACTCTTCTACGCCCCTCTATTCCATATTATTGGAATTAGACTACGAGTAGTCCCCCATTTTTCCTCAGGGATAGTAGAGCGAGCGAAAGTAGTCCCCCATTTTTCCTCAGGGATAGTAGAGCGAGCGAAACGCGAGCGCGCGTGAAAATCACCCACGCGAGAAAAGGCGACACGCGGCGGGGAGAGAGAAAAATTTTTCTCTCTCCCCGCCGCGTGTTGCCTTTTCTCGCGTGGGGTGATTTTCACGCGCCCTCGCGTTTCGCTCGCTCTACTATCCCTGAGGAAAAATGGGGGACTACTCGTAGTCTAGAACGAATACTCGAATTAACCGGAGTGAACTAAGCATCGGATAACAAAGAGTTTTCCGCCCGGTAAATGTTAGAAAATGCGGGCAAATTATGCCTTCTTTGTTAATATGCACTGAGCTCGCCACTTTTCTTGCCGTGGTTTATAACCTTTATTAATAGCAATTTTTGAGTTTTTAAGTGAAATATTTATCATGTTTAGTGTTTCTTATTCACTAAAATTACATGTATTCCCATTCAGCTCAGACCTGGTGGAGCTTCATATTGAATCATTGAGTGGAAAATTGGTACAGCAAAGGAGTTAAGGTAAGGACGTGCTGTTAATTTAAAAATAACTTTTAGCTTTCTGTTCAGTTACATAGTGAAAACTGGGCTGTACAATGGTACTGCGTCCTGCCAACCAGTCGAGCTAGAAAGGGAGACTTTTTCTTATCAGTAGTGACAGCTGGTATTGACGAGGAACGGATACCATATTTTTCGACCCGTCTATATTCCAGTGCCCGCGATGGTGGTAACTTGTGCCAGGTCAATTGCTTGATAGTATGTGACTTTGTAGTTACTGGCAATTACTAAATATTGACTGTTTTTCTTTTATATCGATCTAATTTTCGCCAAGTGAAGTAGAGCTCATTAGAGGAGACAAGGACAAACGAAATAACGTTCTCGTCTCTCAGCTGCCAATATTTGAGTTACATGTACGAAGTCTCCCTGTGCAAAAACAAGGCTTTCCCTCTTATTTGCTTGCATTTATACAGTGCATTTTTATGTTAGCAACATTCTTAACTTTATCGAACTCGAAACTCGAGCAAAATTTCTCAGTGGTATTTTCGGTCGTTTACTTCAAAGTGTTCCGTCAAAACCTTCAGTGACGCAAGATTGTCTATATACTTCATGTTGATAACCTGGCCAGTGTTTTTCTCCGGTCGAATTGATAAGCGTGGGTTCTGATATCCAGGCGTTTTCATCGAGTGACGGCCGAGCGCTTTTTGAGCTATAAGCTGCAAGCAAGGACTTTTTCGGAAATATATAATGCTAGTTTTGGTTCGTGGGCCCCTGCTTTAAGAGATATTTATCAAATAAATTTGACCGGCCAGAAACGATAGGTGACCGAGCTAAAATGAATTTCACCGGAAGACTCTCCGGAAATTATTTCCAGCCCTGGATGCAGTTGAACGTTTTACGAAATTGAGAATTTTTCTTATTCCTCTTTTTATCACATTTTTGAATCCAAAAATTTTATATTTCCATTTTCCAAGAAAATTAGCCCAAGTAACGGGAGTAAAATGTAAAAAAATTAAACTTAAGAAAATAGTAGGGGATTTTTTAGATAGCAAGGCTTCGAAAATTGTACCTGAATGGAACGCTCGTCTATAAATGTTCAGCCGTTGTCAAGCAATAGAAAATTCTAGGCGATATTTGCTTCCCTGAACAGAAATTTTACAGAAAACGGTCTTGGGTGCCCCTGATTGAAAGGAACATTTTACCCGAAACAAACTAACAAAAGTTAATCGTTCCTTTATAAATGTAGCTATCCCGCGTTGCAGGCGCATCATTTACGGAACTTAGCTCAGAATATAGACAATTTAGGGACGGACCATTTGAAAGTTATTGGGGGGAAGGGGCGGGGGGGGAGGGTTTGGAGAATTTTCGAGCGGCAGGAATTTTTTTTTCGTTATTAAATTCCGTGTATGAATTCTTTTAGGCCGTAGCATTAATATTTTTACGGTTAATTGGCGTGCAGGAATTTTTTTCTTTTAATTTTCCCTTGCGCGAATATTTTTTTTGTACTACGCCGGCCCCCCCGCCCATAAGTTTTCTAATGGTCCGTTCCTTAGAGGAATTTTTCAGCTACTAAAAAAATCTCAGCTTAGAGAAGATGTTAGAAATAGCTTGCAGAACAGGCGCTTTTTTCAGTTTCGGAGCTTTTCTGGCGTTCTGCAGCTTAAAAAAGCTGTTTTTACTGGGATCAAGATAGAGCCCACAAAGTCCGGTAGTGCTTTATGCCTATCGGGAGCGACTATACAGGAAATAGTCGAAATAGGGCCATGTATCTTCGAGGTCATTAGCGGGGCTGTGGATACCAAATTAAGATCGATGCGGAAGGGGTCAGGCTTCAGTGTTGTGGCTTGTTTGGAGGAAGATTTTTTTGTTTAAGCAAGTAAGAAGAAGAAGCAAGTACGCCAAACGAGCCGCTCGGCGCCGCATTCCATCAGTGAGTACAGAAGTAAAGCTAAGTAACGGATGACAGATTTTTGCTTGAGACAAAGCGTTTTGTAGTTCTTTCAATTTAACGAAAACAGAATTGAAATTAAAACACAGTTTAGAATCACCGTGGGCTCAAAATAACAGAAAAATATTTCTGAGTAGGATTGATTTAGATATAGTATTCAATCATTGAAAGCCGTCGGATACATTTCAAAGTACATTTGACACTGAACTGGGAAGGCCCAAGGCCCAACTTAGCGAAATGCATCACCGGTAGCAAAAATACCGTAGTAAGAGGCAGAGTAGACTCTCGTGTTGTACAAGTCACTGTCAACAGTCAGTTTAATTTGCTTGTGGGAGCCTAAGGGACCGGTCATTATTTATCGGGGGATTTTAGGGGGGTCACTAGATTTTTGGGAGAACAAATTAAAAGAGGTAGGGGATCAGTCGTAACTGAGAACCCAAAAGGGGAATCGCTGAAAACTTTGGAAGGATTCAGAGGGGGGACCACTCAAATTTGTTTGGAATATGAAGACATGACGGGGGGATCACGAAAGTCATCAAAAGTTATTAGGGGGGATCACTTCAGTGAAGTAACATTCAAAGGGGGTATCGGCTAAATTTCACTTGTTTTGCCCCAAATCCTCCCTCCGCCCCCCGCCCCAGGCGATAAATAATGACCGGTCCCTAAAACTAACAGAAACAAAATTCTTATTCTTCAAAAATGTGGTTGGCTACACAGAGAAACAAAGTGTAAAGTTGAAGAAGTTAAGCACATGAAGTTGGAGGTCATACGCCCGAAGACCAAAAACAATATGAACTTCCAGCCTTAATATCATAGGTGACGAATTACTCCTTAATTTTGGCGCGAAATTTCAACGTTTTAAAATTTGTAATTTCACATGTGAAATTACTAAATTGCCATGGCAACCTGATACGCCTCCATTTCAACTACCGCTGCTTCAAAATTTTACAGTACTTACTTCTACAGTCCCGTATTTTTCTGCGAAATCTTTTGGACTTGTGTGCTTTCTCGTGTAGTTCTAGGATTTTTAGAGTTATCTTGTCAAAAAATTCTGAAAATTTAAGCCAAATTTCAGCTTTAAACGTTTCAGAGAGTGGAGTTATCGATCGATCGATACGATCCAGGATAAACAAGTCAAAAATCCTCGATTGCTATAAAGGTAATTCGTCACCCATGATATTAATAGGTAATCAATTGGTATACTCGTGAAATTAGGGAATAATTTCACTTGCGTTTTGTCCAAATCCTAATTATTTCGGCTCGGGAAATTATAAGGATTTGGACAAAACGCGCGTGAAATTATTCCCTAATTTCACTCGTCACTATTTGATTACACATACAAATACACCAGCTTACACCATAACTGATCAGTCCACGTTAATTGCTTGTAAAGAAAAAGGATGGAGGGGAGGGGGAGGGGGGGGTCGTTAACTTTCGTACTCTGAAAAGGGGGGCTTATTAAAGAGGGGTGGCTTAATAGAGGATTTACAGTAAGTATGACTCTGACCGAGATGAAAGTTCCTTAGTTTGTAATGATTCAATAAAGGTCCTCGCCGATGTGATTAATTTGTCACTGCTAACACTCACCACTATTTTTCATGTCTAATTTGAAGTATTGACAAGCCGATCTTACGTTTTATTCATGCCACCCTAATTTCACTGAAGCACATAAAATGACTTAAATTAAATGATATGTAAATTTTGAAACAAATAGGTTTCGAAGCTTTTCGAATTACGGTGAACAGCTGAGGGTGGTGTTGAAAGTGACGATAAATAATATTGAGGAGAAGATCAGTACAGGATTATGATTTTAATTGCTGCAATTGAAATGGCAGACTCAATACCAAAACCGTTTATTCAGTAGTACATGAAGTCAGTTTGATTGGCAATATGAGATTGCTGCACACATGAATTTAGGTGACTCCTTCACTAAAGAGATAGCAGTCAAGTCTTTCTATTAAACATGTTTGTCGGACTGATTTAACGGTATCGAAAATCATAGCTAGCAAGTTTAAGCAAAGTAAAATTTTTCCTCAAAACACACCAGATTGATTTTTGGTTTAGATACCAGTGAACAATTAGCTGTGGTTAAAGAACACAGTTCATCAACAACCCATGGGTGGTAGACCTTTTTTAAGTTTCTTTTCTAAAGCACTGGACAATCATTTTCTCCTCGTTTTTACTAAGTTCTCATTTTAGAATTGTTCTTGGAACTTTTCCTGTTTAAGTTCTTACTGGCAACTTAATCTCGCATGCATTTCTTTATCTACAGTCAGCGGTTAAACTGAACGGTTAAGGAGATACCAGTGCAGACTAAGATTTTCATTAACAGGAGTACTCAACATGTGTTCACTAATAACCGCTGTATTTAAAGTCACTATCGGCCTGTTGGTGAACAAAGGAAGAGATAAACTGGCAGAGAAGTTAAATGAGGGTGATGTTACAGATCAGAAGTTCCGTGGCCTGATTGTCCGTGAAATCGATGAAATAAAATCGAAATTGGATGGTTTAGCAAGAAAGGATTTGTTAGCGAGTATCAGCCTTTTTAAAGAAGGAATCGAGTTGTTGTATGAAGTGTTTGAAAGTGCCAGACCCAGTAGCGAGCATCGCGCGATAGCAGCAGCTGCAACAGCTTGTGTTGAGCAATTCGATATTGCTAAAGAAATGAGGAAACTACAGCTTACTACCTTGGATGAGTCCGCCACGAGGAAGCTCGGCAAAGCGATGGAGACATTTAGTGAAGCTCGATTAGAAGCAATAAAAGCTTTTAATAATGAAGCTTTGGAATTATCTGATCGCCTGTTAGCTATGCAATATCGACTAATGGCTACGATACTGAGGACAATTGACAATCCTACCGACGCATTAGCGGCTTGTAGAGTCTGCCTTGACGATTTACATCAAGTGCCAGCTGTTAAAGAATATTTCAAAGTTGAGTTGGAGGAAGGATTGAGATTGAGGGCTCGCTTCAATAAAGACGAAAGAAGGCAAATAATTTTTTCTGTCTGTCACGCTAATCGTGTGATCTATGATGTAATGAGCGTGCTCGGTAGTGGAAAAATGTGGACGTTGCCTGATGTTGAAACCGGGAAAAAGAAAGTGGATCCACTCCACAACGAAAGAGTCGTTAAACTACTGACAAAACAAGGTAAGGAGCACTGCTGTGTTACACCATGGTCATTTGGTCAGGAGTGTGATGAGGAGCACAAGCTGAAGGTTCCGCGTGGTATCGCTACAAACACCAAAGGACAATACCTGATAGCAGACGACTGGGATAAAACCGTGAAGGTGTTTGATAGCAACGGAAAGTTTGATTTTAGGTTTAATCCTCAAACTGATGACGCCGATACAGAGTTAGATATTTTGGATGTCGCCACTGCAGGCGAGGACGAAAATATTTATTTACTGGTCGATCTGAAGAAGCCTGGGGCTGAGGAATGGGAAAGGGAAGTGCAGATTTTTAACATGACCGATGACCTACAGCACAAGTTTCCTGTAAGGAGAGGGGACTGGGGCAGACTAACAGTGAGCAGCGGCAAACAACGCGGCAAAATTCTACTGTTGTCACGTGACGTTGTTGATGTTCACGAGTCGAGTGGCGAGTTTGTTTGTAGCTTTGGTGGAGGAGTGTTCAAGGATGCAATAGATATCACTGCTACTTGTGATGGTCGCGTCATAATACTGGACGAACTCGATTACAGCCTTTACTTATTAGATGTGGAGGGACACCAGCATGGCAAATTTAATATCAAATATGAGAGAGATGTCTATTATCGCATTGCATGTCACCCGACAAGTTACCATGTCGTCCTTGCTGGTGGGGAACGAGCGACAGAACGCCTGACGCTTGCTATATACACCGTTAATGGCGAGTTTGTTCGCAGAATTCAGCTGGATGAAGAAGTGTATCTGCAAGGTGGAATAACAGTGACCGTAGAGGGTCACATTGCTGTGGCTTTAATTACAGACAAGCATGATAAAGAAAAAGTAATCGTTGTTTAAGACTAAAAAATTCGAAGACACAAGTAAACAGTTCTTATTTCACTTTCATGAATAAATGTCATCAAGGCAGATGTTTAAATTTAATGCTGCAGTTGGTTGGCATCACTGGACATGACTGGATTAAGCCACATACACCTCAAAAACAACTTCATCCCCTCTTAAGTTTACTGATGTTTGAAATAAGTCTTGTGTTATCGCCCTAACCTTTAAAAACAAACCAAAACAGATAAAATGAATGCCATACATGTACAGTAAACACTCGCTAATAAGAACGTACATTTTTTTGAGATCTGGCAAAAAAGGTTCATTTATTTTGGGGTATTTATGAGCAATTTAGGCCAAGTACAACTGTAGGGTCTTAATTAGGTTTTTACAGTAATTTATATGAAAGAGATGTACAGGGTGTCCCAAATGTCAGTCGTTCCTCTGACTAATAATTTTCATGCGCAATAACTTTTGATCAAAACTTCATTTTTACATTAAATTTCTAAAAGATAATATTATTGCTCTATCGAGTACATGATTGTATAAAGTTCAGTAAGCTGCATGTCCTTTTTTTTTCTTATCACATTTTGTAGCTGTTGCAGCATGGAGTGGGATAAGTCATCAGAGCGTCTACAGCTCCAGATGAGCCACTTTTAGCTTTTTTACCACATGGTTGTTTCCTTGACAATTAGTCAATAATATTGTCATTTGTGCAGAATGGAAAATAATTCAATTCAATTTAATTCTTTATTTCACACTTTATAAGATATTTACACAAGTGTATGTAGGTAGGAAAATAAAGTAGCTGATAAATAATAACAATATTAACTAAAAGACATTAAGTTCATTTATGTACAGTGTCCAAAGTAGTAAGAGCTTTCTTGTTGGACACCGTCATGTTCAATACATTGAATCCAGATTCCATTGGTTAACACAAACATCCTCATCATTTACCAGCTTCGCTATAGCTCTTTTCGTTGTAGATTCAGGTGTTTAAGCTTAAAATGCTCTAACCCAATCGCGTGCCACATCGAAAAACATTTTCGACTTCTCCAGGAAAAATAATTTACGATGCTCCCTACTTGATTTAAGCAGGCAATGATGTCGTGATGATGCATATAAATAACCGATGCGACCAGCCATCTTTTTGGTACAGGTGTGCAGGCTCATTCCCAAAAACATTGGCTGATAATCAAGCCTATTAGTAAGAAAATTAAGACTTTATTCCAAAAATTTTCACTAAATAAAGCATAAACAGTTTCTAGAGAGTGGTTTCCCCCAGATTTTCAGGTAAACATCTCCTTGACCCAAACGACACTAAGCAAATGATTCAGATTTGAAACTGCCACATGACATACAGTATATTATATGGAGAGAGGGCTCTCTTCAGTTGACGAGCATCTTTCAAAACTGCCTTTGCCTGTAATCAATCCTGCTTGTTAAAAATTCTTTTTGGGCGGGTTTAAGTTTCTATTTGGCTAGCACATGCTAGGTACAGCTTGTCCAAATGGCAAGCAGTAAAACTGACTTTCTTAATAAACCCTAACAGATTCATAATTTGCAATTGAAATAATAGAAATGTAACTTACTATTAATGGCAATTTTGTCTTGTCTTTAAACTGTTTTAATAATGAAGTTTGGCATCTAAATCACAGGCGAAAAACATCTGTTGGCCTTGATTAAAATTAATTTGGCTAATGAAAACTTTGACTGCTTTGCAGAGCCTATAGCCTGCTACGTTAATAAAGAATGCATGATTATAAATATTATTGTTAGTTTATATTTCGTAGCTTAACAATAATATTTCTCTTTAAACTGTTTTAGGTTATACTTACACCTTCTTTAAATTTGGTTCACCGGAATTAAAATATTAAGCTTGACTCCTGCTTTTAAATATGTTAGTATACAGCTGTAGGTGAAACTCTGCAGCGATCACCTTAACGATGCAGACCTCTAAGTGTTCATTGTGGGGAGGAAGGTTTATAAAGCCTGGTTTCCATATGATCATCCCGATCACCCAAGTTGTTTAAAAAAATTTTGAAATGATCTGGACAACTGGGAGGATAGGTGGTTTCTATGTGATCGTCCGGGTGCCTCAACGACAAGAGACACGGGGTGTCATCAGCAATGTCTCTGGGTCAGACAATAGAATTTTTGCGTGGGTTTCACAAACAAGCCAAACATACATGTAATGATGGATTTTAAATGGAGAGCAAACCTGAAGCTTTGCTATCTGCTTTTTCTCTCTATTTTGTGGCGTCAACAAGCTAGAAGTCGATCAGTTCCACAAAGACATAGTATCACGTCTAGAACTTGATGAAACAGACTTTCTGTTTAGTTTCAAATAGCACCCATATGCGATGTGAACATTTTAAAATTATTTTTGACTTCAGCGGCATCCAGGCCGAATATATTCACAATCAATGGAATGATAGTGATGATTTCTGGGATAGCCTTTGATCGTCCTGATAGTCTCAGTCATCTGAGAGCATTTCCAGATCACTTCAAAATTTACATGATCCTCCCAATCCTCCGCATAAAACTCAACTCTATTCACGCGATCGATAGAGGTCATCTCAGTCATCCAGGTCATTTGCGATCGTCTGGGTAGGGTTTTCATATGATTGTCCCGATCATCTGAACATTATTTGAGGCACCTGGGGCAATCACAGCACAGCCAAAATGTGTCAATGACAGTGTTATCATGGACAGACATAACCCGGGAAAAGCTATAATATAAATAGTTATATGATTATAAAAGAAATGTGATTTTTCTTGGCCAGAGGAAAATCAAGAAAAGTTTCCAAGTAGTCCGGAAAAGGCAGTTAATGTGAAGGTCTGTGAAAAGTTAGCCGCAAGTTTATTTTCTGGTAAAAAGTTTTCGGAAAACGCAGTGAAAATCATTTTAAAAATGTCAAAAACGAAGAGTAGAGTAATATTGATTTTTTGGGGGGGGAAATTTTTTTAGAAGTTTCTGCTGCTGAATTAATAAACTCTATATGAACAACAAGCAAACAAAACCTCAGGAAAAAAAGTTGTTTACGGAGCAAACCAAACCAAATAAGGTGTTGACTGAGAGTTTATACTTCAAACTGTTTTTTGCATATTAACTTGAAAAGAAGCTATGTTATCATTGCCTTTAACAAAATGCTGTAAAATTAATATTATGGCCTTGTGCCCAAATCTTAATCAGCTAACAAGGTCATTATTTAACCATGCACTGCTAGGATTTTGTCGCATGATAAATATGTGGAAAAAATGAAAAATATTAATGTAAACATGCCTATTAGTCTGTTATTCAATAAAGTTATAAGCAAGAGATGTTTATTATTAATTGGATAAACCTAGCCTGGTCACGTCCAGTGAAGCCAACCAACTGTATACATGTAGCAAAATGCAAAACTTTGCTTTTGATGACATTCATCACGAAAAAATCTGCACTGTTCACTTAGTGTTGTGTCTTCGAGTTTATTAGTTTTAATCAACAATTTATAATGAAAGAGTGTGTGGAAAAAAAATTGGTAACTTTTTTTTAGATTTTTACAAAAATGTAGGCCGGTATTTTTAGGTTTTCATGGCTGTGATTTGACAGTCTGCAATTTTTATTAACATTTATTATATAGACACGAGTGTTTTACTGGAAAATATACCACTCGTAAAATTCATAAAAACTACATCCGGGACCCGAGTGGTTTATTTTCCATAATCTCACACGTGAGTTTATCGATGAAGTAATGTCGGTAATTTCCCTCTATTATTTTATCAACGTCTTTTTGTCTATATAATAAAAAGAACATTACACGGCGGCTTGAAGATATGAATTTTATTTTCTCGTGGCAAAAACAATATTCTACGAACGAGTGCATATCTTCGCGCCACCGTGTAATATCCTCTATATAACACTAAAGAATCTATGCAATTTGTTTTGGGACACGAATTTTCAATATCGAGATTAACATAATCAAGAAGCCGAATAAGAAGGTCTAAATTCCTTGTTGAGCAAGACAACAAGAAAATGGCAGGGGGATTTTATTGAATAGCTCGATGTTAGTTTATACATGCAAGTGCCAAACTTTCCAATTACTTTTTAGGGGCAGTGTCATCAAGGTTTTGTGCTACTTCAAAATCCAACAAATGCATAATAATATCATTATGGAAATCCATTGATTCACTTTTTTCACATAGACCATAATGCACCTTGTTTGCCCCCAAAATTTTGCGTAAACATTCTTTTCAATATTCAATATTTTTCTTGGGATGACTGTAATATCCAGGAGAAACTGGAAACAAAATGCAAAATTTTCGGGGTAAACAAGGTGCATAAATTATGGTCTATGTGAAAATGGTGAATATAGTAACCTTAATGGCCTCTCTAGGAGTCATTAAAAAGAGAGTTTACGCCATAAGAAAACTTAAGTGGACAAATCCTTAAAAAAGTTGGGCCGATCCGTTTTCAAGTTTGCTGGAGTTGCATCAATTGGAAAATCTTTCAAAACCATTAAAAAGATATTGTTATTATTATAGTTCACCTGCGCTTTTCAGAATGATTCGATGTATTTCTCATCATTCATGTCATTTTGTTCAACTCTGGGTTGTAAACGGGCCTTAATAGCATTAAAGTATGTGATTTCTGTCCCGGAGTATACGTGTATTTTGCACAAAACACTCTGGGTTGGTTATTAAAACAAAGCCTTACTAATAGAATGAGGTTTAAGAAAATGTCTGGGCCCCCAAAATAGATATTAAATGATCTTTTCAGCCTGGAAGCCTTTTTGATGCTCTTAACAACAAACAATGTTTTCCAGATATGGGCGGTAAGGATGGTAAAATAATTGAAAAATGATTTAGAATACGCAAGTTGTGTTAAACACCACCTAAACTTTGTTTTAATAACCAGCCTTTAGTTTCAATTTCTAGATTCACTATTACCTAAAAATTTTAGAGTCTACATTGTGCCCAAAGCAAAGTGGCCTTAAAGGGAACAGGTCGTAAGTTGGGTTTTGTGTCCAGATTAT